TTTTTGTAGGGAGCCCTTTTGCAACTAGAAGTTGAAGGCTCAGGTTTCTTATATAGACAAGTGCGGAACATGGTAAATAGCCTTATTTGTTAAATAATGTAAAAGTTTACTCCCTCCGTTCCAAATTGACTAAGGTTTTAACATTTGAAAAATGTCCCAAAATGAATGATATTTTCACTCTTTAATGTAATATTATATTTTTCTTAATATGCACTTCCATAAAATATTCAAGTACTACAATTAAAAGTAATGTATTTATTAAAAGTGAGGCTATTGTAGTAAAATTATTTAAAAAGTATTACATTTATGGTTATTCTTAATTTTTGTATGAAAACCTTAAACTGCAGTATTGAGACTATGGGAGTATTCTGCAGTTGCAAAATTACTGACAGCATAGTTGTTCAACTTTTACAATATCTGTTTACTTTTCCAGGTGGCTTTGCTACTTCAAATTGGTAGGGAAGCTATTCCTCCTGAAATTGTTCCACATATTCTGGCGAGTCGAGATCGCAAGGAGCTTGCAAAATACTCCTTATCTGCCCCTCCTCATGGCTTATGTCTTGTTTCTATCAACTATAATGAAAGTCACCTATTGCCTCCACCAGGGTGCCCTTCTAACAGTTTCGGTAGGCATCATACCATAAGGAAATGCAAGGTTCCATTCTTTTTGTAATATAGGCAGCAAAACAATCGATCTAAATATCCTAGGACTAATTCTTTTAGTATTTTGATTTTAAGGTTGATTCATAGATGGAATTTGATGGAAGTACTCTATTTGTTTAATTCAATTATGCAGTTCAGAGAAGCTATCGCTATTTACAACATTTATTTTAGAGTAAAACATTAAATCATTCGGTCCTTGAAACTGGCACGACCAATCAATTTGATCCATAATATTACCAAAAAAGAAGAAAACTTAGTCCATGGCTTTGAAAATCATAAAATCAATTTGGTCTGTCAGATTGCTACCGCTCAATTTGATTTCTAATATTACTAAGTCAGTTAATTTAATCTTTGGCTATAATAATCGTTAGTCAACTTAGTCTACATCGGTAGAGAACAAATTAATTGATATGCACCAACGTCAGGATCCAATTTGATTGATAATTGCAGAGTTAAAGACTAAATATCCTGCTTACTGATATAATATTCATTTGTATAAGCTAGTGCTTTTGACTCAGTTCAGAACAGAGGGTTTTAACAAGGTTTGTACATTGGAAAGCTGTATCAACGGTGACTATCATTCCCAAAATAAAATAAAATTAGCGCCAAATCATATTAAATATTATGAGTTTTTCTATTCTTATCTTTTTTTTAGGTCGAAGGGTGTAATCCCATTGTCTCAAAAGTTTTCATATCCACGAAAGCCTCATCAGCATTTACTTCTATAGGAGCTATTCTGGTCATCCCCATGATATTGTTTCAATTACATGAACCTAGCTTAAAGGTTGATGTTCTGTACAATGAAATAATCCGCATTCAAAGAAAAAGAGAAAACGTAGAAACAAAGAACATTGAAAACTTTGGAACTACTGCCAGTCCTAAAGTTTGGCTATTCCTACTCTCAACCGGGGGAACAAAGATCAAATCATAAAAGAAATTGCATAACATCTATCATGATGATAGGAATACAGTTCATCAAAACGAAATATAGAAGGATACAATTATGAATAGTGAGTTCGCACGTTTGGCCAAATTAACAATCTGGTTACAACATGTATGTTGCTGAATTAGAATAGTCCCAAGCATTTTTTCCCCTATGCTTGGGACTTGTTCTATAACGAGAGGCTGACTTAAACACCAATTGACCAAGGGAAAAATGCTACCACAGTCCTTCATGGACATGATAACAGTTTAAATAATACAAGGAATCATCATCATCACAGCATCAAATACTGTCACAATGAATATCTGCTTATAATGTCAACAGCAGACTCTTATTTCTTCTACTTATCCTCCTTTTCTCTCTATTTTACTCTAGGAAGAATTCTCATTATAGAGTTGTTGTGAACAATAGTACGTGTATGAGTCATGCGCAAGGTTCTGCAGAACACAAACATATCTTAGTCAGTTTAAAGTCGAAATAATGCTTTATAAGATAAAATTAAAATAAAACATGTTATCTGAACACCTGTTCCTGAGAGCGGAAGTACATGAAAGGTGTATAATATAAAAAGTTTGACACCCTAGATGTATAAATATCAGCATATCTGCAATAATAAATTTAAACAGTTCAATATCAAAAGAGTAATGTGATAAAATAGAGATCAAAGTCATCAAAAAGTAAGCACATACTTCTCAATTTGTCTCATCAAGTGGCTTTTATCCCATAGTCCAGCACGAGATAGAAAACCCCACCTAATGCAGTTACATACACCAAGTTAATAGCAAAAGCATTAGGTAAAATGACCAAAAAGCAAGACAACCAGCAACCAAATTGTTATGTAGTAGGGATACTCGCTCGAACTCAAATAGCAAAGAGAAAAAAGGTATCCCAACTACTTTGCAATTTTTTGAGAGCACAAAAACCAGGATTATTGATATGGTCGTTTGCTTGGTATTTCGTTTTGTAGGATGACAAGTTTCCTTTGTTATGTTCGTGTTCACTGTAACAAGAGCAGTTTTTCAATCACTGGGGACAAAATAAAGAAAAGTAACCAGAGGGGAAGAGGGTTGAAGGTTTGCTGGTTCCAAAATATCACGACAGAGAATCTTTGATCTTTCTAATAATGTAAGGGACTGTTTCAACCAGAGACACATTCCTGAAAGTGCCAACTCGATCACTAGTAAATAGTAATTTTTTTTCAGGACAAAACAGTTATTAACATAAAGTAGCATAACATATTTAACCACGTGGAAGCAGTCAATATATCAAGTACAGGCCAAGTAGCATTAGAGAGCTTTAGAATCAAAGCCCTATCCTTTGAGTTTACCTTGAACTGAAGAGCTCCCCATCTGCCTCCAGCATTGGAGCAATTTTCTCATCGAGTCTTTGCATAACGATAAGTAGCTTTTGCATGCTATCAGTGAGGTCCTCATCATTCATGTTAGTTGCTGCTAGGGTCTTTTAAGAACACGGAAAAGCTTACAATCAGTACAAAAACAAAGGTCAATAATATATAGTCTTATCTGGGAAACTAAAAAAAAAAAAACTATAATAAAAAGATACGCTCAATTCCTCCAAGCAAAGTGAGAACCATGCAGTCAGATAAGGATATGTTCTGAGTAGTACAAAAAGCTTAATTTAAGAGTTAAAAGGCTTCAAGATATGGAAGGAAAAAGTTTTCCAAAATTGAAGAAAGTTACTAACTAGGCTAATAATGTCGCAAGTTTATGATAAAACAAACTAGGATTAATTACTAAGATATGTTGGGAAGATCAATCACTGCATTGAATGATTATATTTAGATTAGAAAGGTACAAGGAAACGAACTAATAGCAGCAGCAGAAAAGGTTGACCACAAGGGTAACAAGTATTATCACGGGAATGCAAAAGAAAATTCTTAAGAGCCTAATGCTTTCATTTTTCCAACAACGGTAAGAGGCATTGCCATTACTCCAAATAAAGCACAAAAAATAGAATACAAAACAAGATTATATGACCAAAACTTACTTGAGCAGGACGGTCTTTGCTTCGCCTCTGTAAAGCCAGCCGAAGTTGGTTAAAGAGATCCCCTACAACTTCCTTTTGATTTATAAGCTCCACCAATGATTCTCTATAACTCCGGCTACCAATCAAGGCACTATACTGCAGTTTGAACATTTACAAAGCACTTGGATATTTCATAATTGGATCTAGTGGTCACGGCACCATATTTACACTATAGAGTACATACAGCTCAATAAGATTACTTAAAACAAGTACATTGTAACTTTGAGTTAACAAGCAATCATATTATTTGCATATTTTGAGGAAAAAATGAAGTTCTGGAGTATTTTTTACCCAGAAATATGAGTCAAACATAAACTGATTGTACTAACCTCTTCTTCCAGTTCTCGACAAATCAATGCTGTTCGCCATCGCAAATGGACTTTGGATTGACTGACATCAGTGTAAATATGGTCGCCAACATACAATATCTCATCTCCATGAATATCTAGGGAATTTTCAACCATCTGTGCACTTCCCCCTGAGTATAAACCGCCTGCATAAGATAGTAGATAAAGTACCTTGGTCATAATTTTTAAGTAGTAAAATTAGTGGCTTAATTATCCTCGGTGAAAACAAACATGGAAATTCAGTATTAAAAGAAATTTTAGAAAAAATGTCAGCCATCTGCATTTCAGTTATTCTTTCGGAATCTGATCAAACATAAAATATCCATAACTATGTGGTTTATAAACATTAATGCATCATAAAAATATCATCAGTGTTTTTCTTCTTTGTATTGATGGATCTCAGACTAGTAGCTAACTTGACTACAATCTGTGACTTATCCTCCATCCCCATTTCTATAAAGGAGGCAGCGGCAGATACAAAAGCTATCGAAACAAATGTATTTCAAGTTTTCAACGTAATGTATTTCCCTTTTTGAAACCCTATTTTCCTTGTATTATCTTTTTAGTTAAAAAAATCTGGGGACAATATTCAAAACGACAGTCTTCATTTGTAAATTAACCTATAAAAAAGAAAGATGTGATATTTTTTATTGGAAAATAAGAATCTTTATCTTCTTACACAGTGAAAAAGCAAATCAGCGATAAAATAAGGAAATGACAAACTACTAATTACCAGTTTGAGCCTTGAAGCATGGACGCATAAGACCCTCGCCTGTGACCACTTCATACATGGGATGTGACATTTGGAAGAACTCTGGTTTTCTAGCTGAGACAATTACCTATCCATGAACAAATCCATATCCATTCATGCAAAGTTTATTTCATAATAAGATAAAGTAGTTAATTTAGGGCAAAACAATGATGGAGATAGTGTATTTCATCCCCCAATATTGAATATGTTTTTGTAATTTTCTTCAAGAATAAAAATATGGAAGAACTGATTTACATGAACTTACAATGTCAAATAAATCTCGCCAACCCATATCGTTGGGAAGGAATCTATTAAAAGAATGCCTCATCATTTTGTCTGTGTAAAGAAAATCTGAGTTGGTAATTAACAGAAGTTTTTTGCCAGCCTGTTTCAAGAAGACAGCTAATAAGGAGTAGAAGGGCATTATAGGTTATGCAAAATATAACACATTATTAGAAGTAATACCTCTTTCTGATCCAAAAGTGCCAAAGGTAATTCCGGATCAGGCTCCACAAACAGTTCAGGCTTGGACATGATCTCACTCTGCATAAATCTCATGTCATTTGTTGTGAATGAAGCACAACACTATATCTTCACAGTGGCCAAATACAACAGCATGAATGAGTTTACCTTAAGGCGACCTTCAACATGTGCCCAAAAGAGAGCTTTTCCAACAGCCTGAAAGTTGTGGCAATGGTAAAGAAAAAGAGCGTCACTAACCAAATATGTCATTTGTTTATAAAACATCTGCACCATATTACCTTATATAGCCCCTTATAATCAAGAGCAAGATCTGCTGGTATAGTCCCATCATCCAATCTGTCAACCATCTGAAAGAAATAAAACATCATTAATGAAGTCTCATCGTAATCAGCCATTATTACATTAGATAAAAAGGTTACACACTTATAAATTAGGTGGGTAATGATTATTCATGTTATTATCAAGAATCAGAGAGTGTGAGGCAGCTTCCAGGAGCTGCCTTGGGTTCAAACTTCACATCTTAATATTTTAGCAATATCACTTGGACCTCAATACCTACTTGAAATTTTGGAATACCTAGTTGGCCTCTTAAG